AGTGATAGTTTATATTGTATGACATTCAAAATGATGCCCAAAAAAACAATGCGTCATCCAGATCCAGTCCCTTTACAGTCCAAATTTGGCTACCTTCAATTTTTTTTTTTTTTTTTTTTACAAAGCTAAAATTCCCATTAAGAGGAAGAAATTTCAGGCTATGGATGAGATCAAAGTGAATATAATAAGACAGTGATCCCTAAAGAGAATTTAGCAAACTCTTTTGAAAAGTCAAAGTGACAGTGAAATAAGTGTATGTGTTTTATCTCTTCCAAGATTGCATCTTGTTGTCATTATCATTTTGCTTGAGGTGGTTCCTCTTACTCTGTAACCCTCTACATCGAGTGGCTCTTGAGCCTTGTACAAGGTGAATATCATTTAAAAAAAAGAAGCATACACAAGAATAAAGTGCCTTTGGCTGAGTTAAGTTACTTTTTCGTTAATATTAAATCTATCATTTCTGGATCTATCATATAAGAAATAAGGTACAAAGGAAATAGTATAGATTAGACAAACATATAATTTTGTATGATGCACACATGTCATTGGCAGTTCAATAAAAGAAATATTGCCTGTTATTATATTCCCTCTCAGAGGTTATAATACTTTGACAAAACCATAAACTCTTACAATAGATACTTAAGCCAACAATTTATGTATCTTCATAAGTACATTAGAAACATTAAGAACCCTGATAAAATTAAGTATAGGTGTTCAAGCTTTCAAACAATCAATTAAACAAAAATAATTTATCTGTGGCATTGATTGCACTGTCAAATCAAAAGCAATATCTTTGGCACTAATGTTTAGATAAGCATCGACTGACAACGTCTGGAATTGTGAGTGCCTTAAAAGAAAGGCTTTGCTATTCATATTGCTTTAAGCACTAATATCTTCATTTTTTTTTCTCTTGACACACTCATAGATTTTCTTTAACTTTATCTTTTGTTATGAAATATCTTTACTGAATTTTCATGAATTTTTAATAAATATGCAGTATTTTTAAAGAGAAAAATCAAAAATATGTTTATCAAATTGCTTCTGCAATTTTGAGATGAATCATTTCCATTCCAAGAAATTGCATGGGCTATTTACTATACTTTTCAATATCTTTTATTGACTACTATTTTCTGGTTTGCATGACCAAGAAAAAAAAAACACTTTCCTGCTCTATAAATTGTACAAGTAAAGAAGGGTATTGATAACTGTGCACTACTATGAATTGGATTACTATGTAATTTCTGTGTACTACTATAAATTGGTAATACTATGTGACCAACAGCAAAGTCCTGGAAAGAGCCAGTCAAAGAATTAAATTGCTGATCATGAATCACTGTCTTCAATGTAGCAAGAACAGAACAGTCAAGGTTTTCATGTCAAGTCTTATTCAGCAAATTCACTTTAGAGAAAAGAGCACTCTTCAAAGATACAAGGACCAACTCAAAACAAAATTGAAATTCACTGAACTTGAGCCTAAATCATTTGAAACACAAGCATGAGACCATACCAACTGGTGATGTTTTCTATCACCATTGGAACAAAAAACTTTGAAGCCACCTGAAGAGAAAAGGAAGAAGTCAATTGACAAGAGAGAAAAGCTCGACAAAATCAGCTTCTTTCTCTACCAACATTACCATGTAGTTAAGGCTATTATTGTGCTAGTCCCACTTTACTTTAGGACTGATCTGAATAAGAATACTTTATCAACATGTAATAAAGATATTTATTTACACCTAAATATCAATACAATGGTTAACATAAACACAATGTCCTTTCCAATATAGAGAGAATATGTCAGGCAGACTTATCCATCTGGTGAAGTGAAATAGGGCTAAGTGGCAGCAGAGAGAATTTCTTTCATATTGCTTCAGAGCATGTCTGGTCTCTTCTAGTAGTGGTCAGCTTTTTCTAAACCCAAGTGGTTTTATTTACCATGTTTGATGGATGTCAGTTATCTCCTGTTAATTTCCCTCTGAAAGTTCTCCACTGCCTTAACCAGGTATTGAATTCACACTCTTTGGGTTCTGTCACTGGATCTAACCAACGCCTTTATCCACTGTGCCATGTGTCCTTGACTGACATCCATCAAACATGGTATGTGGAACTAGAACAGTCTATCCCAGTGAGTGAAATAAAGGGTTCAGTTTGACATTCCAACCACCTGAAGAAGGCTGGAGTGTACAACGGCCAAAACGTTGTGATAAATATGGCGACAAAGATGAGGACAATAGTCTGAATAATGTAAATAGTGTACATAATACCTCATCTCAGAAATATAGACAGATACTGAAAGGCTGAAACGTTGTAATAAATATGGTGACAAAGATGAGAACAATATTCCGAATAATGTAAATAATGTACATAATACCTCATCTCAGAAATATAGACAGACAATGAGAGACTGCCTAACATCATGTGACTAATCTCTATATATAGGAGCAGAAAAATTTTATAAACCTAACACTATCAATTCTTCCATGCAAGAATTGGTCTGCTTAGTTATCAATGCAATCATCATAAAGGAAGTGATCAGAAAAGTAGAAATTAAATTAATGGACATGGGATAAAGTCACTGCTGCCACCAATTATGAATTGGGGGGAAAAAAAGACAACATTAATATTATGTAGTTATCAATGATGTAAGTAGTTTCAAACTTGATATTTGTAAATAAAAACAACACACAGATAACTCTTTAAGAAGTCAGGGATCAAGTTGACTCTATATTTATATTATGAACAGGACTCCACTTCTAAAATAATAAAAATCAATATTTTTCAATTCTGACAAAAATGTTTTTATAATCCATTACACGTACATAATACAATTAATAAAAGAAAGACTTCAATGTAAAATAATAAAGTATTTAATTACCAAACACAATTAAAATACATTAACAACAAAAAAGTAAAGAGTCAATGGAAAGATTATTGATTACTTATTAGTTAATACACAACTGCAGAGAGCTGCTAAGAAAAGTACTAATTCATCTTGAAACATGTAACACTTGACTTTAATGTCCGGGTTAACACAATAGTCAACACGTAATTGTAACCACCCGAGTCAGTCGGATGATATTTCTATTTATAAGAAATGGCAGTCTATATTTTCATTGTCTAGAGATTCATGTTCAAACTCCGGTGATGTCAACAGTGATACTTTTCATTCATATATGACAATTTTATTGGTAGATGAAGATCTATTGCTAATTTACAAAAGTTATTCCCCAAAACATTTTCCCTATTTTTTTGACTGGAATAGTTAACCTCAGTAATGCAGATTCACTTAAAAAGTTTGTGATGTTCGGTATATTAAATAGTGAATTATATATGAGACATTATGACTTTATTCTTTCTTCAGTATACTTAATTTTTTCCTCGTTGATCAAAAGTAAATAATAGAAATGTATAATTTCATTGTGCAAATTATTAACCAAATTATATTATTTTCTAAGATTTCATTGATGTATTTTACATCCAGAATGTTTCCCAAGTCATTAAATTTCTTTTTCTTTTTTTTTCTTTTTTTGGTCTGAAGTCCTGAGATGAATTATTGTCATTATTCCATTAAATTTTCAAACTAGTTTTCTCATCTTTCGATGTGTTAGACTAATAGCACTAAATAAATTAGAACCAGTAAGGTGAGCTCAAATTTTGATTAAATTTGTGCCCACTTCATACTTGTGCCTTTGATAAAAACGTGGATTTACATCTTTCTTTTTTGCCGCCCTACAACTGTACATTAAACAGTAGAAAGAACCATCGTGGAGGAGATTCTGCATTCTGATTCCTCCTATGATTACAAAAGTCAAGGGGATGATGATTAGAAAAGTGTTGGATTCTTTACACAGAGATTGTATTTTTCTAATTATTTCATTCCCAAGCAAAGCAATAAAGCCACTAAGGTTCAAAAGCTTGAATATGATATAAATAAAATGTTATTAAGGAGAGAGGGCAATAAAAGAACAGAAGATAATGATTGATGTTGCATTTAAATGTTTGAAGATTAAAGCAAGAAGCACCATTTAAGGGTGATCAGTAGATCAGATTTCCAGATTACATACATTTTATTCAAGATGGCCCAGACTTTAGCTATGCAAATTTTAACATACTTTTCGGTAGAATTAATTTTGCTTTCTAGGTTTGTAAAATATTCAACAGATTTTACTGATTCATCTAAGACAGTTTGTATTGAGCCTTGATAGTTGAAGCCTATGAATTCAGTTTTAGAGGTATTGACATAGTTAAACATCATTAACAGCATTTGCAACTTGTATTGGGTTTATCTTAAAAGAACTAAGAGTCACTTGATACTCTGAAATTACTATCACAGATATATTTATAGATGATATATCTCTTGCATCCTACACCCTTGAATAAGCATAATAATTTATTCCCAGATTAAAATTAAAGTCTTTTAATCAAGAAGAGGTAAATCTTATAACATTCAAAGGTGACAATCCAAATCAAATGAATAAGAGGGAAGCCAACACATAACATACTTAGTAATCTTAAGTAATTGGGTGCAATAACAGTGTTTAAAAGAGATTTTAAAAAAAGACAAGAAGGCTTGGAAAATTTGATACTTACATGATATATTGAAGGCAAGAGAAGACAATAATGCATAACCTACTTAGCAAACTTGAGGAAATGGATGGTAGAACAGGATTTAGAAAAGATAAAAAAAAGACAAGAAGGCTTTGAAAAATTTGATACTCACTGGAAATGGATAGAACAGGGTTTAGGATAGATAACAAAAAGACAAAATTTATTCAGAGCTAAAAAGGACAGGATATTGTGGAGAGCCATCATTGCCAATGTCCTGAAGGGGCACGGCACATAGGAGAAAAAAAAAAAAGAATGCAGGACTAAAGAATCACTTTTCAGCATTGACTCAAAAAACAGGCAACATTTTGGTATTATTTAAAAACATTTCAATAATTTTGTTTCAGTCAAAAACCAAAATATAAAAACTTTAATTTTTACACATATCTCTTTGACAGGTGTACGAAATGTACCAGCAGTGTATTCAACTGTAAGTGGTGTGTTAATGACAACAAATGTGTTTACGAAGACAAGACATGCACTGGTAACAAGTCAATTTATGCTAAACATGTAAGTTTCTCTTATTTTCTCATTAATTCTTGTATTCTGACAACTTCAACATGATTTCACAATTCACCAACCTAGTGTGATGAAACCATACTTGCCTGTGGACAAAACCCAGACAAATGCAACAAAACCCAAAAAAAAAACTTATTGATTAAATAATGTGTTTAGTGCTGACATCTTTTCAATTAAAGGTATTTTTTTAAGGCTCTGAATCTTGGTTTTAACTGGAGACTCATTTCTTAAGTGAGACTGTGTTAATTAGATTTGCATGTCCTTGAGAGCTTTCAAACAATGCATGACAGTAGTTTTCCATTAAAGTACTATCATGTGATAAAGAGCTCTGTTTTCATGTTAGATATTAAATATTAGATTGGCTTGTTATTTCCTACAGTTAACTTCATACTATCATAAGCTAAATAACCCTCTTTAATGCTGATTTTAAGTCTTTGTCTTGTTGGTTTCAATCTTGTTAGCAATAAATTCAAAACATTTTATAGGCAGAAGCACAAAAATGCAGGCTGTTTTTTTTTCCTAGTCTGTAACATAGTCTGGTACTTAGTTTCATCTGACTCAGTCCCAGTCTGTCTTGTTCACTTGTCTGAACTTGCATTCATGTGTCAACCCCAATTCTTATTTTGTAAATATTTTGTCATATTACTGTTGATTTGAGTTATTACTGTTAATTTGTCTTGCATATATTGTTTGCTTGCATTATATTATTTTTAGCCCTGCTCTTTTCTTTTTCTTGCAATTCTGTTTGTTGGACAGTTCTGTTATTTATTTTGCATTTGACCATGGCAACACACTCCACAGTTTCCTGTAACCAACTGAATATTATCCTATGCTAAAGAGCTCTTTATGCTAAATCTTAGAATGGTTTTCTATTTTCTGTGGGATATGCAAGTAGTGTAATGAGTAGTGGCTCAGAATAAGAAATTGGAGAACTAAGTTTGAATTCTGGTTGAGTTCATTATATTGACTTACACACAAATAACTTTGGGAAAGGGATGAATCCATCTCTTCTCTCCCCAACTATTGGTTAAATAGTAACACATGTATCTGGACAAAATCATTGTTATCTCAAAAGAATTTAGTGCAATGTTCACTCACAAAAAAAACAGGAAAAAATGTTAAAAACATGTTTCGGATTTAAATAATCTGCAAATGTTTGGTAATCCATAAAAAACAAATCAATCCTATTTTCTGTACGTAACTTAATACTATCCTATGCTAAAGATCTCTTCTTTCATGCTTTGTGGTCTTACTCTGTTTGGTAGGGGGAAGTCTAGATAAAAGAAAGCATTTTTGTCTAAAGTCATTCTTCTACATTTATTTATAAAAAATTAAAGAAAATTTCTGAGTTTGCTGTTAAATTGTTCAGGTGTGTATTTGCTACCCAGAACAAGTATTGAACTAACAGCCTTCAGCTAATGTAAACTTGTGCTTAAATAAGTTGATTTATTCCTCCTGCAGTTGAAATGGGTTCTGCCCTTTGAATTCAATATAGTCTATCCCAAATTGTATTTGGTAGAAATTCAAATCTCCTGTCTTAGTAAACAAACCTCCTGTCCTTAATAGAGAGACAATTAATCAAATGATGAGAAAACATTTAACTGGTTTGCATGAAATTCAAAAAGTATTCATTGCCTCATAATTATCTGAAAAGATACGACAAACTTTATATAAACAGATAAGACGCTCTAAAGAAAAATTGAATGGTGAAAAAGTATATTCTTTTTCGGAATAATAAATAGCATGGACCTGTTTAGGTCATTGTCCAGGAAAATGTGTCAGTTTTTATTAAATGTAGAGGTTCCTATGTACAAGTGCATGAAGGCAAGATATTGAAAGCACTAGATCAATCTATTTGCCTGGTAAAGTTATATCAGATTAGATAAACATTTATTACAAGTTTTCCATTTTTTTGTATTCTTAGGTTGAAGCATTAGAGTGTATCCCAAATTCTGCAAGCAGTTAAAGTATCTTTAGTGTTTGACTTTTTCAAAAACGACTTTGATCTTGCCAGGAGATAAGATGATCCATGAAGTTGTGAATCTACGAAGCCATGGTCAGAACAATTCTTCTCTATGATTGTGAGACCTGGCCACTGCGCAGAGAGGATCTTCATAAGCTTGAGGTCTTCGATCACTACTGCTTCCACTGTATCCTGCATGTGCGCCTCTCCGACCGGATCCCCAACTCGTCCATCCGTGTCAGATGCAACATTCTGGGCCTGGAAGAAACTCTGCTTAACAGGAGACTCCGGTGGTTTGGCCACATGCTGTGGTGGCCTGGTGATGAGTTCATCCATAAACTGGTGGCGCCAAACGCACCCACTGGTTGGAGGAAGTGACAAGGTGGTCAACTCAAGACGTGGCTCACAATGGTCAAATCAGATATAGAACTCATCTCTGGTCCTTGCGTTTTCAGGGTCCAACACTGGAATCACGAATGGCTCGATCATGCCGTCGATTCTGCTGCCAATCAATGAGAGTGGATGGCCTTGACGTACAATGCGGTTAATTTGATTGGAGCCGGCTCAACCCACCCTAGGTGAATGCCATTACAAGACAAGAAGAAGACTTTTGAATGATGCCTCAAAATTGCCATAATCTCAAGACTTTTATCCACCATTATAAAATTTGAAACAAATGGTATAGCTGAATGGTATTTATAATGATGTGTCATCATCTTTATTTTTATTATTATTATCATAAAGTATGGGTGCATTGCTGAGTCATTAGAATGTTCGCTCTCTGACCCTGAGATGCAGGTTTGAATCTGACCAGGGTTGATTTGTCAGGAAGGTCACTACAGAGGAACCTTGGTTCTTGAATGGCTCACATGTCAAACAAATCAATTTTTGAACAGAAAATTCAAGATGAAAATGCCTTGGTTATTGGACAAAATTTTGGTTCTTGAACAACATTGCTGAATCTAATTAACACGTACAGAATAATTTCTGAGTCGACCACCATGTTGTATACATTTGTGTATTGTGCCATGCTTTTCTTTTCTAATTTTATGGTACTGTGACTTTTTTTCTCTACATTGATTCCTATTGGAAAAGTTTAGGTTTACAAACATTTCAGGTTACAAACAACCTTCAGGAATGAATTAAATTCGTGAACCAAAGTTCCACTATACTTGATATTATCAGCTTGGGGAGGTGGTCTCAGTATGTTGCACCATTGGAAAGTGCCTGAAAACCAAACTATGGGTTGAGCTTGTGAGTGAATTCTGGTAGATGGTTGTTGATGGTTGTTTTAGCACAATGTCATAAGTCATCATGGCCGAGGATTTGAGCATACTTGCATTGTTCAAACATTTTTTCATGTAGGATGATGTTCTCTCTCCCAGAAACTGTAACTAAGGTCTATTAAGCATAGTTGCAGTATAAACCACAAGTAGGCTCTTTGGGTGTTGAATAATTACTAATGTGCCCGAGCTGGTGACTGCAACAAGTATTAGCTAGCTGCCCTAGCAGACAGAAATACTAGGATACAGGTTGCCAGTCAACAATTATTATAAAGTGGAATTGTAAATTTAAATTGTCTTGAGATGTGTATCTGAAATAAACTTTGAAGTAAAGATTTTTTTTTAATATATACTTTTGAGATACGCTTATATATGAAAATACAATTAATATAATGGAGTCATAGTCTTTAGATGTGTTTATGAAATAAACTTTGGTAGGGTCAAAGGGGTACCATGTGTACTGCAGCCACAGTGATGTTTCTTGGGCAAGATAGCTTGATGGAGCCCAACCCTCTCCAGGCCAGTTTTGAATTCAGAGTTTTTCCTTCTCCTAGACTGGTTGCCACTCAAGGCTATAGAACCCAGTCTGCTTTGCTATTTACCCATAGCTGGGAGAGGAAGAAGAGGATTCATACCTTTACCAAAGGTATTAGTGCATAAGTGAATGTAATAGATCCGACTGGAATTCGAATTCAGCTCTTCGATTCCTCAATCTGAGCCGCTATCCATTACTCCACTGTGTTTCCCCACTTTGATCTATAAAAGTGAAAATACATTTGATACACCCTAATAGTTAAGCGAATTTTTTTTAGCTATTTTCAAGTGCAATCATAATCCTCTTATAATTTTATATAGAGTCATAGGAAAGAAAAGCTAGCCTTCTGTGCTTATATACAATCATAAATAATAACAGTGTTTATTATAAATCGGATGCTGATGACTTGAATTTAACTTATTATTTTAACCAGTTCCATTTTCAATCTTTTTTTTACCCACATGATCATTTCAGGCTGGGCTAGTTTTTTTTTTTTTTGTTTCTTTCTAAAGTTGCATCCCCTTGTCATCTTTAAGCTTATTTTCCTACAGTGCAACATTAATTTTTGTCAGCATAGTAACTGTTTTTAGATAGTGCTTTTTTATGTCTTCTTTAAAATGCTAATCAGTGAAAAATAATTCAAAATAAGTCGCTTTTTTTTTCTTTAAGACAAAAAAAATTTAAGCATGTTTAAAAAGTGGTATCAACTTTAACCAATTATTAAATAAAGAATTTATTCAATAGAGGCAGAAATTTCCTTGAAGATGAATTTTTATACTTTGATGTTGAGACAGGAAGAGCACAAATGAGCCAGACATCGTTGCCATGGCTTCCATTTCTCTGTTGGCTACTGGGACATTTACTTCCAATTTGATTAAATATTTACTTTAATTGGAAAGTTTTTTCTCTCGATATTTTTTTTTTTTGGCTTCTTCTTTTATAAAGTCCATCACAGTTTGATACTTAAAGTACATAAAAGAAAAAAATCAAAAGAATTTTTTGGAGGCTTATCAAATGCTAACCTATAGAACAAAGAATGGAGGAAAAGCAGACATAATTTCATTAGAGATTGATTAATGTACATAGATAAACAATTTTAGCTAATATAAAAGAATTAATAAGGGGAGGAAATGGCACAAAGTTGAGACTGCTGAGTAAGGCTAAAATTGAAAACCTTTAATCAGTAGGTGACTATTTATACAAATCATTT